ATTGAAATCAACGAGAATCTCATGTTCATCAAAGAACCGGTCGAAATCATGGACCGGGAGGCAAAGCGTACTAAGCAAAGTCGCATCCCGATCATGAAGGTACGGTGGAACGCGAAGTGTGGGCCAGAATTCACGTGGGAACGCGAATACAAAATGAAGCAAAAGTACCCTCATCTATTCTAGCATTCTCAAATCTAACTTTCAAAAGAATTTCGGGACGAAATTCCCTCTAACGGGGGAATGATGTCACAACTAGAATTTTTTGGTGCCTTGTAACTACAACACTTATGTCAACTATGAATCAAAAACATGAAAGCATGCATGATGCTTACTCTATGACAACAAAATTTCAATCAAACACTTCATACAAGCAGTCCAAATAGTCAACAAATAATTGAAAACCCTAGAAGTCCTTGTTTAAGTCCATTTTGGACTAGGACTTCCTTATTGGGCCCAATGGACCAATAAGCTTCCAATTTGACTATCTTTGGCTTAGAACAATTAAATGGGCTCTAATTGGACCCACTTTCATTTATTTTAACATTTTGGGCCATATTGGGCCTAGAATTAAATAAAATATCCAAATGGACCTTATTGGGCCCAAAACAAATTTTAATAGCCCTAATGGGCCATAAAACTCATATTTTGGTGAATTTTGGGCCGTGAATTACTCTAAAAGGGGCCAATGGGCCGAAAACCATTAACTTGGGCTCCATATTGTGGATTTAAACACAAAAGGCCCAAATCTCCATCTCTCTTCTCTACCTCCCGGCACAAGTAGTAAAAAAAAAAGAATTTGAGAATTAAGGAGGATTAGCCACCTCCTTAATACCTATGGGATATCCAAGCAAACTACACATGTCTCCATGCATATCCTTTCACTTCTCTCTCTCTCTTCTTCTTCTTCAATTACTCTCGGCCGAGAGTATCACACACACACAAAAATTGTTTCACTTCAATACTCACAAGAACACACTACAAATTCCTTCACTTCTCCTTCAAAAATTTCTAGATTCAAGGGCTTTGCAAGGAGGATTCTTCACAAAAATAATCATCTTAGGTAAATTGATGCTTGGATCCACACTCTAGACTCTTTGTTCTATCAAAATATCTTCTTAACTCATATGAATTAATGATCTTGCACCTTAGAAACTCTTTAAGTTCGAGATCTTCCAAGAAAGGTTGCTAAAGCCGAAAATAGCAACAAACTCTTCTCTTTTCTTTTTCAAAACCGATCCACAACTCAAGGTGAGTTTCATACCCCTTATTTTTTGGTTTTATGAGTTTTATGGGGGAGAATACAAGTAAATGTGTAGATCTATGTGTAAAGGTATGTTATGTGTGATTTGATGCATGTATGTGTGTGATATCATGTGTTTTGTGATGAATATGTCATCAAAAAGTGTGTAAAAACCGAGATCTAAGGCATGAGAAAGGAAACAAACATATCTTAAGTTATTATACACTAATCAAGTCAACAAAAATAGTTTATGAGGTTAGGGTGAACATATCCTAACATAAAACACATTTTAGGGCTTAAAATGTCAAAAATACAAAACTTAGGGTACAAACCGACAAATGTATAGTTTCTGGAGGGTAAAAAGGTTCCAAACAGTTTCTATAATAATTTTTCTAAACAACAACATTTTTAAGGGACTTAAAGTGTAAATTTTGAACCTAATGGGCTAGATTTGGGCTTTTCGGCCCAATAAGCCTCAAAATGTGAGATTTCTAAGTTGAGGGGATGAAAATGCAATTTTCTGTAAAACATGGGAATTGAAGTGTATTAAAACTATTTCAAAGGTCAAAAATGCTTTTCAAATTCAAAAAGGATCAAAAATGTAAAAATTTTCTATTTTGGGCTAAAACTGTAAAAGTTGTTGTTGGGTATTTGGTGTTGCGTCTTGGGATCGTCTCTTAGCCCCATTTTGTATCCGGTATGGGCCTGTCCATCCGTGACTTGTTTGTTAGGGTTTGTGTATTAATAGATGCTTGCATGCATCTTTTTCAAAGACTGATATATCGTTTTTTACGTGTTATTTAGAAGATCTCTTTTGTAACCCTAAAATCCTCTACAACGGAAGTTCTTAATCGAGCTCTGCAAAGGATTGAAAGTTCTAATCATTCGACTCATTCAGATCCATACTTGTGTATTGTTTCATTGTTTTACATTTATTATCTACTTGTTACAAAGATCTAATCGATCAAAGAGTTCATAAATCTCAACAAGTGGTATCAGAGCGGGTCTTTGAAGATCTATTGATTTTTGAAGTATCGGTTCTTGATTTGAGGATTTTCTACACAAGTTTTTGAAGATTTTTGGTTATTTGGCGGCATGGAATCAAGATTTTTGTTCGATCTACTGTTCATGGAGATTTATACTGTTCATTTGGTATTTTTTTTATCTAATTCGTTCTTCTGTTCATCTTGGATCTGGTCATTAGTTTAATCCAAAAATCAGTTGATTTTAATCATTTGTTTTGACCTAATTGGATCCATTCGTGTCTTATTTTGATATGGCCCAATCCTTTGGCCGATTCACTGTTCATGATACATACGCTTAATGTCGATCCAAATTTCTTTGGCTTTAATATTGCATTCGAGTCTCCAATTTCATCTTCATTCAGTGTTCAATTCGATACTCCCTTACTTGTCAAAATTAACAAATCGATGATTGACCGAAGCTATCGTTTGTAAGCATTTGAATATCGATTGGCTTAATCGACCCATCTGTAAAAGACGCATCTTGAATTCGTTGCTCCTTTATTCTTTATTCATCGTTTTTTTTTTTCAGTTCTTACTGATTGACTTGATTTCATTTGTTTCTTCAAATTACTAATGATTCATAAATGAAATCGATCTGTGGTGTATTGACTTGTTGTTGGTTGAATGAAATATTTTGAAGTCATATGATACACTGCGTTGAATCTCAATTTGAATTGTCAAACAGAAAAGTCAAAATTGAGTTAAATGATCGAGGGTAGTTGGTGCGATGATATGAAGATAGTCGGAACATAGGCTATCGGAGCGCTGGTATCTTAATTGGTTGTCTTGCTGATTGGAATAATACATTCGCAGTTTGATGATCACTGATAAAATCAAATTGTGGTGTGCTTCACGTTCTTTTGGTTCGTAATAAAATGGGTCTTGCAATCATGGTTTATGTCAAAATTGATTGTGTGATGCGAACAAATGAATTCGATATTGAATTTTAGTCAGGATAGACGAACTGTTGGTCAAAGTATGTAAAGTCAAAATTGACTAGGTTTTGGGCTGGACACGGGAGGAACGACCAAACTTGCTTTGACCGTGATTCGCAAGGGGACTGTGACGCATATGTGAATTGGGTTAAAATTTCTTTGAATCTCACTGTGTTTTCCACAAAAAGCGAACATGTGATTGGGTTTGTCTTTGAAATTGGTTCACTTTGGGTGTGATACTTGACATTCAGAACTCAGAGCTCGGTATGAATGCTTGTGCTCGAACGAACCTGGAACAAACTTAAGTTCTGCTGGTTGCTCTTGGAACGAAAGCACTTGGAAGAAAGAGCGGAGGACCGAAAGCGAACGTGTGCTCGCACCGAACATGGTTTCGGTTCAATAAACATGGAGCGAACCTAGGTTCGGTTGGTTGTGCTTGAAACGAAAGTGACTCAGATTCGCATCTTCATGATAGGAAGCGATGGAATTGATTGGAATCGGTACTTTGGTTTTCGTCTACGATTTGATTCATTCCAATTGTTCTTTTAATCAGTCAATATATGGGAAGAAGACACAATGTTACATTTTTTGTCCCTATAACTCCAGCGAATTGACACTTTTGGTCCCTGTTGTTTTCACAGTTTGATATTTTTGGACTAATCCCAGAAATTGTAACAAATAAAGGGGAATATTGATGCAGATTTACCATTCCAGCCCCTGCCTTTCAGCAAGTGACAGTTACGGCCCGGTATTCAGAAAAGTTTATAACTTTGTTGGCCGGTGAGCAGTTTTGAATTCTTTAATGCATATATTTTTTTCGTGAACAGAAAATTATGGATTCCATCAAATCTTGGTGGTTCGGAAAGTCGTTTTTCGTGATAACGTCAAATGTTCACGACTTTTTCGGATTTTATACTTCATCGTTAATATCATTTTGTCACGGGGGAGCTTAGTAAATTTTTATCCATTTAAGATCATTCTCATGACCATTTGAAGGCTTTATAATCACGTTTCGATTATAAATCGGGGGAAAATTTGGTATGGCTATTCGAAATTGTATTTGTGACTTTTCAAAGTTGAAGATTTTTGATAAAGCTTGTGGTAGAATTATGAAGGTAGCTTTTACAGCGGAAGTTCTTCATCGAGCTCTGCTAAAGCTTTTACAGAGAAGTATCCTTTACAGCGGAAGTTCTTTATCGAGCTCTGCTAAGGACTTGTTATATCTCCGACTTCTTGTATTTTCTCGATCAAGTGGCGTTACGGATCTTAAAGTTTGGGTTGTTACATGATATTTTTTGATAGCTTATATCATTAGCTTATTTAAAGATCATCGTGACTTGGAGGGGGAGCTCTTCAAAGACAAGAAGTGATTCGGTTTCTTTGTTCTGAAATGGGTTTTTATGGCGGGTTTGGTTTTCATGAAGATTCTTTGGGATTACATTCGAAAATGAAGTTTAAAGACATTACTTCAGTGCTTGATTTATATATCCTAGAGCCCGTTTTTGAAGACTATTGAAGAATCAAGATTCGTGATTGCTTTCATATATTCCTCTTGCATATCTTTTTATTTTCTAGATGCTTGTTTTGGAAGTTAAAGCATTGTCATCCATTCCATACTTTGAGGGGAGATTGTAGGGTTTCAAAGCACTCCATGGATGATGGCAATGGGCCCTTGATGAAGTGTAGGTTAAAAGCCCAAGACTTGTCTTTTCCCTATGAAATAGTCATGTATTATTCATAAT